TTTTATTCCTTGCTTTCCCTCAGATGTGGAGGTCTTCATAATCCGGTTAACCACTAGAAGAAAGAGAAGGGGGGAGAGTAGACAGTCTTGTCTGACTCCGGTCCTTAATGGGATGTCTGTCAACTGTCCTCCATGCACCACTTTTCAGTGTAGCCTGTCGTATGAATTCGGTACGATGTTGACGATTTTCTTAGGTACTCCAGTTTCGAAGAAGTTTCCATTACGTTCTCCTATTCACAATCCAAACGCTTTCTCATAGTCAAGGAAGTTGATGTATAGTGACGAGTTGTATTCGATTGATTGTTCAACGATAATCTGTAGCGTCAAGATTTGGTCAGTGCACGACCGGTCCTTACGGAATCCAGCCTGTTGATCTCGAAGTTGGGTATCTACTGAATCTTTCATCCGGTTCAACAACACTGTTGAATACCTATCCTGATACTGATGGTAGTGTGGTTCCTCTGTAGTTCTCACATTTGCCCAGGTCTTTGGTATCTTGGTGTGGTAACCTTCTTTCTAGTCGGTCGGCACTTGTTCCTTCTGCCAAATCTTCTTGAATAGAAGGTAAAGCATGTTTCTAGTTACTTTCACGTTTGGCTTCAGCTGGTAAACTGTCAGGTTCTACTACTTTCCCATTCTTGATTTGTCTGACGGCCATCCTGATTTCTTCGATCGTCGTTGAACTGACGTCTATAGGAAGGTATATGTGTTCTGCTTCGATCTCTGATGGATTCAATGAAACTGGTCTTTTCAAAAGTTCATCGAAGTGTCTTACCCATCTGTTCCTTTGTTCTTGAATTTCAGTGATTGGCTTGCCTTCTTTGTCTTTGATCGATCTCTGTGGTTCACTATGTCTCCCTGCCAGTTTCTTCGTTGTCACATAGTTGTTTCATATTTCCTTATCTTGCAGCTTTTTGTGCTGCTATTGCTAGCTCTTTCACGTATTTCTGCTTGTCGGTTTTAATACGCTTCTTCACTTGCTTGTTTTCTTTTGTGTATTCTGAGTGTGCCTTGACATTTTCTGTTCTTGTTCGGCTGTTGTTAATTGCTGTCTTCTTGTTCTTTCTTTCTTAAATCTTGTCCAGCGTCTCTATAGAGATCCATTCCTTATAATGATGCTTCTTGCTGATCAGCACCTGTCATGTTGAAGTTAATGCTTATTTGATCCCTTTCCGATTGTCCTCTATCGTAGCTTGTTCTTCTTTCAGTTGATTTCGTAAGGCTTGGAACCCGTTATTGAGAGCTATCTTGAATTCATTGAGTTTGTCAGTATCTCGAAGGAAGGCTGTATTGAACCTTTGTAGTGCTGTTTGTTCAGTTGTCCAGTTCTTCTTTAGCTTCAGTGTTAAATTGGTCGTAACTAGGTGGTGATCTGAAGCTGTCAGCTCCTCTCATAGTTCTCACACCTTCCATTGTCCTTCGGATTTTTTTGTTGATGCAAATATGATCTATCTGGTTCTCTGTGGTGTGATCCGGTGAAATCCATATTGCTTTGTGTGGGAATATTGTGCAGCCTATAACTAATTTGTTGAATGCACATGACTTTGCAAATCGGTCACCATTCTCGTTCGTTTTTCCCAGTCAGTTCATGTCGTTCCATGATGTCTTCATACCCGTTGTTGTTCATTCCGACTTCGGCGTTTAGATCTACCATCAGGTGGTCAGGTTGTTTTCTGGGCACTTCTCTTTGATTAATTACAGCCCCTCATAGAACTGATCTTTATCGTTGTCATCGCTGTCATTTGATAGGTACATAACATTGGATAATGCTCACTGTAATTACCTCATGTATTTTGAAGGATGCTTTTGTGATTCTGGTTCCATAATATTCCCATGTAAAATGTGCTTTAAGTGTTCCCTTGGACAGCATCAGAGTAACTCTCTGAGTATGTAGAGCACTTTCCTCTTCGTGAGCAGAGTACAGCAACATCTCTGCCTTACCTAACTTTTGCTGTTCATCTTGAGTCTAATCGGTTTCATTGATTCCAAACACCCCCAAGTTGTTACTATTTGACTGATCTATTAGATCTCCCACATTGTTCGAACGCTCCATGTAATTATAAAAATTGTCGCTCTTAATACATACTGTTTCAGGCTGTCTTTCTTAACTAGATTTTCAATGTTTAGTCCTCTTTATCATAACTACCAGAACTATTTCCTCTTCTTTACAAAATAAATGATCCTGCTTATTTTATCTCCAAATGAATGCGGTTTGACATGTATATAAGTTAAATCTATGACATTTGAATATACAGTTAATTAGTTTGTCAATTCAAGTATTTAAGTGCATAATTATTATCGTGCCACAACCCGATAATGTGAATCATATTTGTTATATAAAGTTAAGTGATAATTGGTTGTTAATTGATCATTAGTAAGGTGAAATTCAAACATCTTGTAAGCTGGTTGTAAATTGTATTCCTAAACTGTTATGCACAGATCTAATAGACTGTAAATTTCAATGCTATTTTGTACAAACTGCAATTAACCACCAACTCATTTACCAGGTAAAGATTTGTCTACCAGACTTTGAAACACACCTACATAGATGTGAGTGTTAGTGATACTATTAGATTGCCTAAACTGAATTGAGTGAAGCTAAGAATTCCAACTTGCAATTTGATGATTGAAAGTGAGATGACTTAACTATCAATTCACCGCTACAATGTGATGTAATACTTGTAATAATTTTTTAATAATATTGTTTAATCATTTCCATAATCATCATCTAAACTCTTGTTTGCCTAATCTATATTCAGATCGTGAAACTTAGTAATCTTGGAAATAGAAACTATTGGCTTTGGATGTCTAAATCGTTACTTACATGTTTTCTGCAATTGACATTTAATGTAAATACGTTCAGTGATTGAGTATTTATAGTGAATATTTGAATTGATTTATTTCTCATGACCTCAAAGCAAATTTTCATTGAATTTGTAATGATATTCAGCTTCCACATTGATTACATATTGATGAGCACTGGTTGACTTAGAATTCATCATGTTGTAACTTATGCTCAACACTTTTAAGGTTACTGTGAGTAAATAAGACCGATTAGTTCTTTAGTTGTTTTTCTTCTTGTAAAAACGTGGTTTTTAATGGGAGTAATATGCAGTCTATCTAGTAACTACATTTATTTAGGTTCTTTGAAAACTATTCTATGGAGTTCTGTGTATTTGTTTATTTATTTAAAAACATAAATAATTGTACGAAGAGGCATTAAATAGATATGCGCCTAATAAATGTTTCAATTTGTGTCAAGGATGGAGTACTGCCCGGGCGCCGAGACCGTGGCAGGTGGATTCCTTAGGGGCTACTGCTCTAGCCTTTGACCTACAGGTCCAATGCACGAGACAGTACAGCAGCTTTAGGAGATGCAGTCCCATGGTAGTCGGTGACCAAGGATTGTTTCATACGCCATTTATTCCTTGAACCGATGTGTACTATTAGTTTAGAATTATAGGTCTCCAACTCCCGTAGTTGGATCCTCTGTGTACACCAACCCGGTTAAATCACTGGACATTCACTTTGTGTCTTTAATTTCATAAACGACACCCACGCTATGAGAAGGCAGTGAGTAGGACTTCTGTGTCAGTGGCTGTATACATGTGTCCATATGAGAGTGTTTGGTAATGGAAACCAGACTCTTCCCACTCTCGACCGTATCACAGCATTCGGGGGCTAAGTTCTGTGTACATCAGTTCTATTGATTACAAATCTTTTCAGCTATCTTTCGTATCTTATTTCAGTGAGATTCATCATTTTTAACAAACCTAGTCCAGCTGCAATCATTCAGACGGTGAACTGGCAAACTGAATATAAAAAAACCAACAAAAACACGTCATGCTCCAGTTTATTATTATTATTATTAGTGGCTTTATTCTATGTTATATTTTTTGGTACAATATAGGATTATCAGCATAAAGTATTTCAACAAGTTTCGCTTTCTTATTTCTTGATCAGTTCTTGTCATAAATATTTGTGGTCGATAGTTAGATGTTACCGGTTCAAGAATCGACATCTGATAAATGTATATCCTATTCGATGCATATTACCAGTAACCATAATGTCTCTGATTGAGCTCCTTTGTAACTTAATAGGTTATGAGACTAATAGGCATAATAATGTGTTAAAAGAAACAAACAAAACAACAAATAACTTGTTGAAATATGCAAATGACAAGAACAACAGGTAGTTAAAATATTCAAGTAGGTCACCTGGTATTGCATCATATCACACTCTACATAGATCATTGAAACACTTAATCAATTGAACATGAAATGCATTCTTTAATTTATCGCTTACATAGAGTATAATCATCAATAACATTTGAAGAATTGCTCTGAGAATTTCTTGTTTGATATATTATGATGATGTGATTAACTTGTTATTTTATTTATTTATTTTAACACATAGGTATTTGTACAAGGAGGCACCAAATACATATGCGCCACACAGATCTCATTGGATATGTGTGAGGGCTGTGATACTGACCGGGTGCCCAAATCGATGTAGGTGGTTTTATTAGGGAAGCCACACCCGGAGCCTTTGACCTGAAGATCTGATCCACAAGGCAGTGGAGCATCTTGAGGAGATGCAGTCCCATGGTAGCCGGTGACCAAGAACGTGGTTCATACGCCATTTGTTCATTCAGGATAATGGAGTTAGCCCATGTGCACCATTGATTTGGTATCCGGTTAAAGCGCCGGTCGTTCGCTTTTCGTACTCTCATTTTCGTAAACAACACCCCGGCCACGAGAAGCAGTGAGTAGGACTTTCCTGGCAGAGTCTATATACGCGTGACCATATGAGAGCATTTCGAGTGGGAGAGTGGACTCTCCCCACTCTCAGCCATACCAGGGCATTTGGGGGCAATTAATTTAAATATAGAATCATATTTATATTTATTGTTTAACTTACTTGTTGTTTTAATTCACCTCAGTATTTATCTTTTTTGCCTTTTTTTTGCTTTTTTTTTGTTTTTTATAGACTACTATCCAATGTCTCAATCTAATTCCACTGATAATCATAATAATAATAATAATAATCCAATAAATCAAACATCAATCAATCATGAAGAATTTATTCATTCTAGATTAAATAGTATAATCCCAGAATGTAATCATGTAAAAATTGATTATGATTTATGCTTTGAAGAATTTTTTCCAAAATTTTTAAATGGTTCTACATTCCATTATGATCCATGTGAAAAAAAATTAAAAATTTATCAAAAATGTTTACGTAATGCATTAAAAAATTCATTAAATATTGATTTAAATGAATTAGATTCTATGAGAACCGATGCAGAAACAATTCAAAAAATAACCAATCAAAATATAAAATAATTAATTTTAATTTTTTTTTTCTTTTTTTTGGAGGGGGGGGGTCTAATATTTAACCACTTTTTTTGGATTGATATAAATTAGTCGACATTCATTGTCCGGCATATATATATATCAAATGTCTATCATACCTTTTTTTTAAAAAATGGTAAGGTGTGAATGAAAAATGTAGGTATCTTTGATTAGTGTACTATTGTTTTACCAATGTGTACACAAGTGAAAATGAACAAAAATTTTGTCATTTTTAATAAATTTTTTAATTGGTCGTAAATTGTTTATCTTTACAAGGATATTGGTTTTTAAGGCCGTCAAATACTCTGGTACGGATGAGAGTGGGGAGAGTTCGCTCTCCCTCTCGGAATACTCTCATATGGTCACGCGTATATAGGCCTCTGCCAGGGAAGTCCTACTCACTGCCTTCTCGTGGCACCGGTGTTGTTTACAAAAATGAGAGGACGAAAAGCGAACGACCGGCGCTTTAACCGGATACCAAAATAATGGTGCACATGGGCTAACTCCAGTATCCTGAATGAACAAATGGCGTATGAACCAATCGTTGGTCACCGGCTACCATGGGACTGCATCTCCTCACGATGCTCCACTGCCTTGTGGATCAGATCTTTAGGTCGAAGGCTCCGGGTGTGGCTTCCCTAATAAAACCACCTACTTCGATTTGGGCACCCGGTCAGTATCACAGCCCTCACACATATCCAATGAGATATGTGTGGCGCATATGTATTTGGTGCCTCCTTGTACCAATATCTATGTGTTAAAATAAATAAATAATAATTTGTTTCTAAGTAATGATTAGATTTGTTCGTATCTATAGAATCTATGCTATATATCATTCATAGGTAATTTTGTTTATATAGATTCAAGTTTTCTATACTTAATGATTAGATGAAGTTATTTTTTAATGATAAAATTTGTTATCACTTGTGGCCTGAGTGCCTTTCGAATGTATCACGAAATGATACTGACAATTAGAGAACAGTGATTTATCGATCGGATCAATGATGCGCAAACCCGTATGAACAGTCTAGAGTGCTTATTTAGCCTTGCTTCCTGCTTAGCCCAGACAGTTAAGTCCAGAACACAAATCTCAATCTCTGTGAAATTGCTATGACCCGACAAGAATAACGAATAGTAATTTTGAGATCCATTTATAGACCAATACTAAACGTTTATTTTTATCGTATAATTGTTAAATAACTAAACTATCTGCATATTCATGTTCCTCTTTTTATAAGCTTGGTTTTGACCTATGAACCATTGTCATACGTTTTACCACTCTTGAATTATGCCCTCTCTATTAGTCACTGCCTCCCACAATCACAGTCACATTTGGCCAAATTTTCTATTTTATGATACGTTGTGGTCTGTTTGATTGGTATATAAACTCAGTATGTTTGAAATATAAGATTCGTATTGTAGAGGCTGAGATTGACGTTCTGGAATTAACTGGCTGGGCTTGGTGGAAAACAGGGTCAATCAGAACTCTAGGCCACTCGCACGTGTTTTACGTGTCCTTGGTCCGATCGAAATTCACTGCCCATCTACTCGGCGGCCCCTCAATTTATAACAGAAATGAATCATTGATTCCAAACAAACTGAGAGATAGTAATTGATAGACAGGATATAATTCAAGAATGGTAAGTCGTATAATAATAGTTCATGGATCAAAATAAAGCTTATAATAAGAGGGACATGAGTATGCATAGTTTAGCTACTTAACAATTATACGATAAAAATATACGTATAGTATTTGTCTATAAATGGATCCCAAAAGTTACCATTCATTATTCACATCGGGATATAACAAAATTTCAAACAAGTTACGTAGTGATGAATTGTCTATATTATTAGACTCGATAGTTGTGATAAGATGATTTAAAGTGTGTGATCTGACTGATAGAAAGTCTAAAATTATTTCATTATATTGAAAGTCTATTGAATTCAATGTAAATTTAGTGTTTTTTTGTATAATAAGGATTGTGTAGATCTGTTAACCAAAGAAAGACTTATCAACCTTCAGCATACGGATAATGTTGTCTTATTGTGTGGTGATACACAAGCTATGCAGATCCCACTTGGTTGGGAATTAGTATATTTACATATGTCATGTGCTTCTTGATTTCTAAATCCAAAGTATTTTAATAAGGTAAGCAAAAGCCGGCGCATGCGCTTACTCTTTGTGTTAAGTTGTCAGAAGTAGTGTGAAATTTCGTGTGTCGGTATAGTAGTGTAAGAAATGTTCTGTTGGTGTATTGGATGAAATCAATCTATGTATAATAAGAACCAGAGCAGATTATGCTTGTTTTTGCCACTTTAGAAATGTTTGTCTGGATGGTAAAAGTTCGGGACTACATAGCGTCAGTGAGAGTAGTTGTGCCTGTGAAACCTAGCCTGTCTGAATTGCGTATGTTTGGAAATTTATTTTAATCATTGTTATCTCCGAGGTATTGGTGAAACACTGTAAACAGTACGTCAGTAAAGTTGAGGTTAGGTAGTGTGTAATTGCGAAGAGTTACGATAAGTTAATTGATATCACCATCGTAAGACACAAGCTTTGTTACTTTGGACATGTTTTACTAATGTTATGTCTTTCAATTCCAAATCGTGCATTATTTATCGACATTGGGACTAAGCGGAAAAAGCGTAACGCTTTTCAATCCATGACAGTGTTGCGATATGAAAGAGATCTGTATAACTAGTTCAGGAAATGACCATTATATTCTCATTTGTTGTTTGTTATTGTTTTCATAAACCAACAACATAGTGTTTGAAAATCGAGGCAAATGAACGACATCTGTTGTTCGGACTCGGAAATTGATCAGATGATAATGTTAGCTGCTTTCAAACTTTATACATGTTCGTGGAAGCGTTGATTTCAATATACTTTAGTGAATCTCAAGACAAGTACCCTGATCATTTTTTCTAATAATATGCATATTCTGGAATATCGTATTCCATGACTTGCTCCATTGAAACACTCAATTTAATGAAACGAGCTGTCATGACAGTCAGTTTATCGGCAATGGAAAATAGATAAATATTAGAATAACTGGTACACTCTTCGATAAAATCATCAGAAATAAGTGAGCGGCTCTTGTATTTCGGCGCGAAACTCCTTCAACGCGTTTGGAATGTATCAGTATATAGGGTTAGAGAACAAACAGGATGAAGTTGACATTGAAATTGAGTGTTAATCAATAATACATACGATATTAAGTAAGACAATGTGATTGTATTCATGCGCGTCTGCTTATAGCTTTGATACGTAATGGACATTAAGCCACCGAACTCCCTATTAATAACCGAACACAACCCCTATTGCGCCTCCAGTCTTTTCTGGACTGCTGGCACATATTCTGTCATACAAAATCAACATACATACGCAACCAACAAATAGCAAATATAATCAAAATAACACGAATACGAGCTCCGACGCTGCCAAAATTACCACATTTGCACTAATGAGAATACTTGTTATATAATTCAAATTTATCGAAAAAGTATCACTGAACGTAACACAAAAGTACCAATGATCGCATGTCAGTAATCAGTTATATTTTGTTGTGTGATAATGAATGTAAATGTGATTAGCACTGAGTATGGACAGACAGATATGCAGCTTCCTGACCATCAAACATATAATTTCCTTTAATCTTACTGATTTTTGCTCCACATCCACTGTGTGGAATACAGTATTGTAAAGCTCCATTCTTGGTCGTGAATCGTATATCTGTTATGACATGGTCTACTATGTGTATAACACATTAACTAGGAATCTAATCTAACTGTATTATAAACTCAATCACCCATATTAATCTTTTATTAAAGTATTATTTTTTAAGCCATCCGTAACATCATATACGATACTGATTAGGCAGAGAGCATTCTGTCCATTCATTATAAAATTCTGTTGGGAATATGTTTTTGTAGTGGATTATCTTCAGTCTTTGTATATCAGTTGCCCTGATAACGGTTATTAAACAAACTCCAACAATAAATTCAGAAGGTAACACAAAGCTCCGATTACAGTTTATCATTGTATAGCACAATCACAAATACACTAAACGATTTCAAGCAGAAATACTAATATACACGAATACATAAGGGAACTAAGAATCGAATAATTTGTTAAGATTCGAACAATACATGTGTATAGGATAGCGAATGATTCACCGATCCATTTTGAGCTAAACATAAGGATATGTGCGCAGACTGTCACCTACCTATGTGTAAGTGTGCATGTTTTTACACAGACATGATAGTAATAATAATGATACAAAGACATAAGTAAATTGTTCGAATGACACTGTCCGTCAAACAAGTTAATAAACAGGTTTGATAAAAGTAACCGTATGCAAACTTAATAGTAGTAAAGGTGCCATAATAATAACACACCCCCATAACAAACAAAATTATATATAAAAAAAAAACAATGTTAAACTGGACAGACTAACTATGATACAGAGAAAATATCGTATTAGAGAATAACTAAGGAAATATCGTATTATACAAAATCAAAACTACCCTGTAAGGTGTTATGTGTTAATGTTTGTCAATGAGGTCGTATTATATGAAAGATAATGTAAAATTAACGATGCCAACGTACAAAAAGAAGACGAATAAAATAAATTATATTCAAAATAATGAAGTCAGTAACAACGTGGAACTTCGTACGTACGTACATCAGTTCTAGTTGCCATAACACAATAGCAAAAAGATTCAGTTATCGATTCAAATCCCATAGTGGTAGAGGTACTGAAAGTATAAGTAGTGACAGGGAACATTAGGGTTTGATGATGTTATTTAAGGAGTATAGTCCAGTGGAATAGATTTGGAAAGAAAATAAAGGACATGAAGAATTCAGAAGATTAGAGTTTGAGAACACAAAGAGTGGATGCACGTGCGCCATTGCAAACGATTTTGAGCCATGTCATTCAAGGTCTCTAACCATCGGTTGCTATCGTCTCGCGGTCCCCAACCAGGTAGTC